AACTTACAAGAGAGCGCCAAAAAGGAAGAAGGAGCCATTGCAGCCTGACTGTCAGTCCACCAGTCAGCCACTCCGAATAAGAAACACACTGAACTGACTGCGCGGTCCGAGTTATCCCAGCAGTTGGCAACATTCTAAACCACTGCTTTTAGCGCGCCGTGATAGCTTGAAGTACATCAGATTATTTATAGTGAGGAAAGAAATGCGCTGATTTGCCGACCTCACTCGCACTCTCTCCCACCGCTCGTGGTTATACTCTTTAACGTCAGACCTGCAGCGGGGCTCAACATGGGCATGGCGCGTAAGCAGAAACCCATACTTCTTGACCGATCACTCCGTGGAATATCTGTTCAGTGAAAATCTTGTCTGAAGATAATGCGACCGCTAAAACAAGAAGTTCACGCCTTGGCCATTTGAATTCTCGCGCGAACCCAGCATCAGAGATGGTCTTTGATAATTAAACCGCATCCTGAACTCACTCAAAATGCCACATACTGGCGTGACTGAGATTTATGCAACACTGAAGTTCTTCCTCGGCACAGAATTGAACTGTTGCTGGCCTTTCCATGAGCTTATTTGGCTCTCTAGAGTTAAGCAAATCTGCCAAGCCTCCCAAATTATTAAGTCAGCCTAGTAGTCGTTCTGGTGAATTCTAGATGATTGCTTAGGAAATCCCGTTTGGGCAGTCAGCTTGCCGTTCCGTATTGGTGGATGCCATACGAGCGGTAAAGTTGGGTGGGTTAAATCGACCCAAGTATGATTAAATTAATGGCGCGAGGTGGGGCGTTTGTAGCTTAATTGGTTAGAGCGCTGGCTTTGCGTGAAGGTCTTCTCTACTATGCGGGTTCAAATCCCGCCGAACGCCTCGAGTCTTCCTGTTTTTTTATATATGTGGATAATGCCACAGGCAGGTCTAGATGCCTGTTGATAGAGTTGTCATCTGATTACCGCGCCTCAAGTGTGAGCCATTCGGCATTTGAGTTGCCAAGGTGGCCTCTTGAACTGTCATATATTGACACTTAAGTTTGTCACCCACCTTAGGTACCTGTAGCCCCAGAATTGTATGTTACGGGACTGGTGGCATTAGTTTAGTTTAGTTTTTTTGTTTATTCTTTAGTTCAATTTTAATTTAAATTAATTTTTTTGTTTAGTTCGTTTAATTTTGTATATAGTAGCAATGTAAGTACACGTATCTAGCGTTGGCGATATGCAAGCAAACTAAAAACTTAATTAAACTTAACCTTAAGTTTAACTAATGAAATAAATAATAAGCTAAAAACCAAACTGAAACTAATAAAACTGAAATGAATCACAGGAATAAGGCCTAGGGGTATCTAAGGTGAGCGACAAACTTAACTGTTACCGGTCATTTTCTCCAGTATGAGTTGCAAGCTACGAGTTTGTCTCTAACCTCCAAGCCGCCAGCTGTGCTGTCTCCAGTTGCCGCCAGTTTGGTCGTTCCAAATTTCGTTCAGTTTTCCGGACTTAGTTGCAGTCCGCATCATTTTGACATATTTGATGGACAACTATTTAGGTTTCGGTAGGGGACAGTCCGTCCTTAGGTCGTATACAACGGTGACGAG